CAGCCAGCTTGCTGGCTGGGGAATTCTGGGAGTTGAAGTCCACACCTCTTGAAGTTGCCAAGGTTGAGAAACACTGGACTAGTCTAATCCAGCAAGCCTTTTCTCCCTTTTTCAAAGTCTTGCTATTGCTCCTTCTACCGCAGGTGACGACAGGAATATACTTACATCCCTTCTACGATCCCACGGTCTAAGTGAACGACATTCAAAGCTGTAACTACATTTCTTAAGAGATCCTTCCCCGCCCACTCTCCCTGACGCAGTGCCTGCTGGGGTTTCGGCAATTTCTCCAACCATTGCTCCGGAAAGTTCTAATAGAGTCACGATGACGAGCGCCGACCTGGCATGCTGGGGATTGTAGTTCACGTGACTCCCACCTTCTGTCCGGAGAAGAGACATTCTAAAGAGAAAAGTCTACATTTCCCAGAAGCCAAATCGCTATTGGGGCGAAGGAGTGGGGGAGGGAGAACTCTCGAGCGAATAATCCCGGCCCGGAACAGTTTGAAGAAGAAAGTCTGAGGGAAATGGCGGTTGATAAAGAACTGCTGGAGTTGGACCTGTACGCGCTTTTGGGAGTGGGCGAGAAAGCGACGGATAAAGAGGTCAGGAAGGCCCGAGCTGGGGGAAGGGAGACCATACCTCGCAACATCGTTTGATAGAAGTTAGAGGCGGTCCGGGAAGCATTGTACGCTTTGAAATTACTGACATTTTGTAAGCCATACATAAACCATACGTAATAACCTCTGCATAGGGATCCCGCTGATGAGTGAGCTCTTAGTGCCTGCTGTTTGAGTCTGGGACCTCCAGATGCATTTGATTCCAACTTCCATCATTCCCGGTCGTTGCTGGCGAGGGCAAATGGGAGTCGCGGTCCAATGCAGATGGAAACGGCCCACGGAGCGAAAAACGGTCCTAAGTAGGCTTACCGCGGTGTAGTTGCTACTGGAGTAAATGGGCTATTGAGCAAACTTGTTTAAAATGTGCCAGGACTCGTATCTACATCAAGGCCGGACCATTGACCAGTATGGGGATTCTTTATTGGTTATTAGCTTCACCGCACGCTAGTGGTTTTCCTGTCTTGCTGTCCCAATATTTGGTCGCTCTTTAGAGGGCTTGAGAAACAAGACCCAGAACAAAATCTGTGGAGAAGAGTGTTAGCGGTTGGGGAGCTTGGGAACAGGGCTAGCCCCCAATATTTACATTGTCAAAACTGCACAGTGACTGCCTCTTGTTCCTGAGGATTATGATGCCCCGCAGTTGAAATCAGTATTTTTGTGAAGCCATGGTTGATCCAGATCTCACTGGAAATCACTTATTTACTTATTTATTTATTTAGGAAATTTATATAACCGCCCATCTCACTGAATGTGACTCTGGGTGGCATACAACCACCACCAACAATTAAAACGATAGAACAGTGATTAAAACAATTAAACAAATAAATAAAAATCAAGATTGTGGGCAAATAATCACCTAAACACAGTACAGCCACTTCATGGACTTCCTATGGGATCCCAAAGGTTGTCAGAAAAACGAACTTTTAAGAAGAGTTGTATGGGATCAGATCAAAAGTCTATGTGATCCAACATCCTGTTTCCACGATGACTGATGATGCCCATAGAAAGACTGTAGGAGACAAAATCTTAATTGTGTCCCCTAGAAATTGTGTCCCGTATTATGTTTCTAGGCATACTTATAAAACTGGTAAATAGTGTAAATTGGAATTTATAACAGTTATTAACCACCAGAAGTTGTACAATGTTGGTGGTTTAATAAATAAGAAAACCCAGTAGATCTGCAAAAATAAAAATATGCTTGGGGTGGGTTTAGATTTGCTTTAGATTAGGGTGGGAAAATCAGTTTTCATTGAAAGAGTCATTGACCTATAGAAAAAACTGCCTGTTTTTCTCATCTCCTTTTTCACTGACCAAGTTCCATGGATATATCATTAAAAAAAATAAGCCTTGCTTAATATTGAAGGATTAAGGCCTGCATAAAGATGGTTAAGGTTATTTAATTAAATTCATCGTTAAGATTTTTTTTCATCTTTTAAGATTTTTTTCATCTTTTATTAAATTCATCTTTTAAATTCATCTTTAAGATCGAAACAGGTGCAGGGCAGATAGGTAAATGGGTAAACTTTTTAATTCTTTTCCCCTTGTCACTTTTTTTAAATCAAAATTTCTCCTTCTGCCCCCAGCAGCCTTGAACAACCTGTATTTGGCCAAAAAAACCCACCCTGGAGAATATCAGTTTCTGGATATCTTCTAGAAAATGTGATTCTGTTATTTTAACTCATCAGTTTATTAAACCCTGACCAAATGTGTCTCAGAGCTCTGCTGCATCCTTTTTGGATTTTACTAAATTGGATACTTTTGTCAGCAGATCATTTAGATTTTATTCTCTGGTCAGTTCTGTCACCTCCATTTGGAGGTTTTTGCACTTGCAAGAGCCTCTGTTCTAATATTCTGGGCCTGAAATAGGATATACTGTCTACTCTATTCCTTCTACAGAGCTGGAAATCCCCAGCGTTCTCAGGTAGCACTGATAGGCTTCTCCCTCTGTCCTGGTGCAAGTTAATACGGTGATGGCGTTTGTGCAAAGATTTTGATTTGTGGTTGGCTTTCTCCTCAACCTTTCTCCAGCATTCTTTTTCTCTGAACACTTTCCTTCCCTCATTCGCGTATGAGGAGAAGAAAGAACAATAGGGAGATTGATGGAGTTTGAAAGAGTGGATGTATATGACTACACAAGAAAGACAAGCAGACAAGGGAAAGCACCGTTGTGGTCCTCATTCACACCAATAATAAATGCTTGCTTTGAGTTGGTATATCATGATCATACAGGTAGTCCTTGCTTACTGACCATTCAGCAACCGTTCGGTTCTGAAAAAATAATTTTACAGACCATTTACAACCATTTACGACCTTTGCAGCATCTCTGAGTCACATGATCACCATTACAGTCAGTATGTGTGGTTCTGTGCCTGACCTGTGGTTTTTTTCTTCCTTTCCCCCCCTGCAGAGCAGAGAGATTGGAGGGAGGGATTGCAAGAAAGTAAACTCTTTGCTCTTCTACACATTGGAAGCAATGCAAAAGTGCTGGCAGCCTTGGGCTGGAAGTCGCAGGCACACTACCCAAACAGCTTACAATACTCTCTTGAAATCTCTTTCTCTCCAATCTCTCTGCTCTGCGAGGGGAAGGGGAGGAAAAAAGCAAGCAATTTTTATATTGAGAGCAATGTAATCACAACAGCAGTGGAAAAGGGTCAGGCAAAGGAGAAATTGCCTACAGAAATTGTACCCTCCCCCCACCTCGCAGAGTAGAGAGATTGGAGAGAAGGAGATGTCAAGAGAGTTCTGTAAGCTATTTGCATGGTGCGCCTGCTACTCCCAGCCCCGGGCTGCTGGCGTGATCACATTGCTCTCGATGTGTAGAAGAGCAAACAGCTTACTCTCTAGAAATCTCTTTCTCTCCAGTCTCTGCTCTGAGAGAGAGGGGAGAAAAAAAGCAAGCGATTTCTGTAGGCAATCTTTCCTTTGCCTGACCCTTCCCCCCTCTCGCAGAGCAGACAGATTGGAGAGGCAGAGTTGGGTGCAGTGTGATTGCATTGCTTTCGATGTATACAAGATGGTAAGCAAGCACTTGAACATTCCAAGGATGGGAGAATGTTTAGGAGGCAAATAAAAGCTGGTGGTGTGAAACTGAGTAGTCTTGTCTCTTTCCAGCCAGAAAGCACAGTCACGGTGATGTGATTTCCCACTTAGCTACTGCTTCATTTAGTGGCGGAGTTGCCAATCCCAATTAGGGTCATTAAATGAGGACTACCTGTACTTTTGCCATACATATTTATGATATGCTGTTAATTCTTCCTCCCATGCCAGGCTCTAAACAAAATGGGAAAGTTAGACTCTCCCCTCCCAAGAGAATGAACCAGTTTTTGTAAAATTCTGGCTGTTGCAGTGTCCCCATGGTCACATGATTGCAAAGGCTCACAGCTACAATGTCGCAGCATCCCACAGTCATGTGGTTACCATTTGCGACCTTCTTTGCCAGTTTCCCACAAGCAAAGTCAATGGGGAAGCCAGGAGGAGGTCACAAATGGCGACCATGTGACATTCTTGCTTAATGATGGCATGTGATTCACTTTACAATGGCAATCAGGAAGTGCTGGAACAGCCATTGCTAAGCAACGATGTCGCCCTTTATGACCAACTTGCTTAGCGATAGAAATTCCAGTCCAATTGCTGCTGTTAACTGAGAACTACCTCTGTGCATGAAGCACAGTGTTACTTTTTGTAAGACAGTGCTCATGTGGTCCATTAGATGGTGCTAAAGTACCATAAACATTTGGATAGTATATTGGTAGCTGGGTGTTAATGTGCCATCTCAGAATAAATTTTGATTCAGTTTCCTTTCCTGATAGAGAATATTATAGTTAATAAAATGAATTTTTATTTTATATATGTATAAAGAAATTCATAGTTTTTAATGTCACAGAAGCATAATGCTGGAAATGAAGTGAAAAAAATCATCTGATCCAACAACCTAAACTGAGACACAATTCTGGACAGACATAGGCAATCTAGGGTCTTCCATATATTTCCTTTATCATTCTTATAAGCTGCAGTCAGCATGGCCTTTGCTTGAGGATTAGGAAACTTGGGAGTATCTCCCTGATAAAATCAATAAAATAAACATCTTTCAAATCCAGATTTTCAACTGCTCCTGATCTGCCCACAGATGCGTAGCTACAATTTTGAATTTATTCACAATTAGGTTCATAGATCTGATCCTTTATTTGCCAAATATATAGCCCAGAATACTTCCTGAATTTCTTTTCAGGTAAGTGATTCTACAAAGATCTGTTGAAAGCAGGACAGATTGAAAATCATACAAATATACCCAGCCCTTATTATTCACAAAAGTTCTGTTCCAGCCAAATAACTGTTGATACTGAGACTGAAAAAAATATGCATGCACCAAATCCTGCCTGCCATTTTGTGTGTTTAAAATAATTTTAAAAACATCAAACGCCATGAAAGTATAAAATCTTTAACTACAGATAACAAGATCTGTCTGTATTTGCCTATGTTGGATACATAAGAATGATAATGAGGGTTGCTTACCTGTGATTAAAGCTAACACTGATTGTCAATACACAGATTTAATTAGGAGTTGCAGAACTCTATGGGTTAAAGCTAATTCTGTTATCTTAAAAATGATGGAACAAGTTAAAGGTTTATAGAAGTATGAGTGCCATACAGAGAATATGTGTAATTTTATCTCCTACTCATAACAGTGACACAGAGAGTACATACAGATATGTTTCTGTTCTTGAAAGCTACGTGAAATAAAACTTAATTGTATTTAGTAGTTTGGGGTCAAACGTCATTGTCTTTTCTAGATTTTTGTCAGTATTAGAGATGGTAGCAGCCAAGAAAGTCACCTTGCCAAATATTTTGTATATTTTATTTTCCTGAGAAACTACGGTCCAGATATTTACAGCTGAGTTATGTTTCCCTGATTTCTCTGCAAGAAACACTTATATAGGATAGATAAGTCACATCTTCCCAAATATTCAGGGATATTTATCAAAGAGACTTGATTGATTCCAAGTCCCAAATACATATTCACTGCAGTACAAATTAGTAGTATTTGCCTTCCATCCTTCTCATCCTTTACTGTTTGCAACATTAATGAAGGGAAAGTGTTAAGTAACCCTCATGGATATTGACATGTCTATCTATGCTTTGTCCACCTTGATTTATCCAGTTGTCTCTGTTTAGGAGTAAAGATTTTCTATCTTAAACATTTCAATTTATTCTAAATATTGTAATGAATCTAAATACTAATCCATTTCAGCCTGAAAAAAAAGGATGAATTCAGGTATTTGGAAAATATTAGTACTTTTCTTTTATTATAATCTATCAAAGATTGACATGTTTGGGCAGATATGCTTGGGCAACAAAAATGTTTGCCAATTTTTAAAATAATTTCTATCACTTTTCAGTGTGTTGATGTTTGCTATTGACCATCACTTTGAAAGTTGCTACAGTCAGCTGATCTGATCACACTGTTCATTCCATCTTCTTTCTGCTACAGATTAAGAAAGCCTACAGACAGAAGGCCCTGACCTGTCATCCAGATAAACATCCAGATAATCCCAAAGCAGGTATGGATAGTCTTGATAAAATCTGTCAGCCTCTCCTTATTACTGTTTCCTATGTGATTCATCAGGAATGAATAGTTTTTTTCCAAATAGATTTGTGTTATCCAAATAAAGTAAATAAGTTTATGGATTTATTGCGGGTAGATGAAATACTTCGTGTAGCAGTTTTTTTGTGGTTCTTCATAAACAGAAGAATTTTCCAAATCAAAGAGGTATTTATTGGTCTTTCTGTCTTGGGCTTATGATGCAGCTAGTTAACAGGTTGTTTTCTAATTTATTTTCCTCCTAACGATTGGATCGTGTAGCACCTCTTCAGTGTATGTTGCTGATTTATTTTCAGTTTCAGTTTCAAGAACTATCCTTGACCCCCAACCAAGTATTGCACTCTCTATTTCTCAATCACACTACCCTCTACTCTTCCCCATTCTCAGACTGGATGTTAAATGCCCAGACTGTGACTATAAGATGAGGTGATTGGGAAAAACTGGAGAGCCACTATCAGCTGCCCATCTTTTGGGGTGGGGGGAGGAACAAACAGTTATGTCTCCACTATACCAATCCTCCAGCACAGATAGCAAAAATCTACAGTTTACACTGTTCAAAAAGTCCACTATATGGTACCAACTGAAGTAATGGGTCTAGCATCTGCAGGGGGAGGCTCCAAGTTGCTTGTATGCAGGTTCAAGATTTAAGGTTGAGACAATACTAGCTTCATCAAATCAGTGTATTTCCAGGAAGCAGTCAGATACAGCAGTCAGATTACATAAAATACCTACAAGTAGTCCTCGCTTAACAGTCATGGTTGGGGCCGGAATTTAGGTTGCTAATCAAATTGGAGAAGGAATGGGATACTGGCTTGCAAAAGATATGGGACACGCAGCTTCGGGAAGGAATGGGACGACGGCTTTAGGGAAGGAACAAAAGGCGCAGCTTGGGAAAGGAATGAGACCCCAGCTTGCTGAAGGTATGGGACACGCGGCTTGGGGAAGGGACAGGATGTTGGCTTTAGGAAAAGAACGAGAGGCACGGTTTGGGGAAGAAATGGGATGCTAGTTTGCAGAAGGTATGGGATGTGCAGCTTGAGGAAGGAATGGGATGCTGGCTTGCAGAAGTATGGGACGCGCAGCTTTGGGAAGGAACAAGACAATGGGACGCCAGCTTTAGGGAAGGAATGAGAGGTACCACTTGGGGAAAGAATGGGATGCTGGCTTTCAGGAGGTACGGGATGCACTGCTTCGGGAAGGAATGGGACGATGGGATGATGGCTTTAAGGAAGGAATGAGAGGTGAGGCTTGGGGAACGATGCAAGCTGGTGAAGGCCCGGAGTGTGGGGCTTGAGGCAACATTTCTCAGTGGCAGCACTCAGGCTGAAGTTGAGGCCTGGGCGTGGTGACAGCTGGCTGAGACGGCTGAAGGCCTTGGCCTCTACTTCAGCCCAAGCCCAGGCACTGCCATTGCCAAGTGTCACTGTGCAGGATGGCCAAAAGGGCACAGATGGGGGAGATAGGCGGGTGGAGAGTTGTGGTGCCCTTGTGGCTGTAAGTGTGGGCAGGCTGCCAAGTGCCTGAATTTTGATCACGTGACCATGGGGACGCTGCAATGGCCATATCTTCAGGCATGGGTCATAAGTCCATTTTTTCAGCACCATTGTAATTTTGAACGGTTGCTGAACGAATGGTCATTAAGTGAGGACTATCTGCACATGCAAGCCCCTGACACAGTCAGGACTATACTACTATATACAAATATAATCCACTTATTATGGGCAGCTGTATACGAGGCCTTTGCTAAACCAGTCCCACTTAAAGACATATCACCATATGCCATAATGGGGAAATAGAAATGATGCATGTAACAGTTCTTCTGAAATCAGTAGCAGTGAGTGTGAGGCAAGATGGGATTTTCCTGTGAGATAGGTTGCAAGACAGTCACTGGATATAGACTGGGTTTCCCACAGCATTACTGGTTTGATCCTGCTCTCGCTGTTGCTCAACACCATCATCCAGGTGCTCACACTCTCCACTATGTGGACAGTAGGCAACCCAGGGCTGCTGTCACTTTTGCTGCAAGGTTGCTCTTGACTGGAGAAGCTGCCACTGATGCTTAAGAGAAGAGTAGAGCCAGCACCATTAGTGCTGCTGTGAAACTGCTGAGCAGCAGTGATTATGACAGCTGATCTGCACTGCTGAACAGTTGATTGTCGATAGTTTAGTTGGTGCAGCTCCATAGCTTGCTCTCATGTTGATCCAGCAGCTCTAACAGCTCACTCATGAGGGAAATCCAGTAAGGTCCTTAGAGCAGGTCCTCCTAATAGGTCAACTCAAAAGCCTACCTTACCAATGATCTTTGCCACTGACACTGCCATTGTCATTGCCAAGGAGCCTGTTGGATTAGTCTTTAATCTAGCAAGGGTCAAAACCCATACACATACCTGGATCATCACTAATATACCCATCCCATCAATGTAAATGTCTCGTCAAATGTCTTGTCATTAAGATAAGTCTGGCCCCAGGGCCGTGTTGGAAAAAAAAGATTATGGGTAAGAGGGCCTCCTGTATTCCAGTGGAGGGAGAGGGGTTATTCTTCCTCCCACTCTCTGCCTTCTACCTAGAGAGCAGCCTTCTCACTCCAGGTCTTTTCCTCTTCCACTTCAGAGGCCAGTCAAGGCAGTCTTGAATTGTTCTTACCTGTGAGGATGAGCTGGTCCTTTTAAGTGTATTACTTTTCAGGGAATTGAAATATCACCTTTATTTGTGAAAACAACTGAAGTACTTAAGGGTGTGGGATTTTGGAATTTTTGTCTTCAACTAGCTATAAACTTAGTTATTAGTAATTCAACAATCAACAATACCAAATTGAGTTTTAAGATGTGGGGTGAGTTTAAATTCTAAAAGAAGCCTTACTGTGTAAATTTAATTTCAGATGTTATATGATACTTGGTCCTATTGTGTTAAATCTTTTATCCAAGTAAAGTGAATAAAATGATACATATTCAAAATGATATGAATTTCCCACAACTATTATGTTTTTTTAATGTTCTGCTCTGTAGCTGAACTCTTCCATCAGTTGTCTCAGGCATTAACAGTTCTAACAGATGCAGCAGCAAGGGTAAGTAATTTGATTCTGTGTTACAAATGTAGATGCTCTTTGGTTTTATCATTGCAAGTGAGTGATTAGACAGGTAGTCCTCGCTTAATGACTACAATAGGGACCTGAACATTTATCGTTAAGCAGGGCAGTCATTAAGGAGTCACCATGTGACTGGACCCGATTTTACGACCATTTTTATAATGGATGTTAAGTGAATCATGTGGTCATTAAGCGAATCCAGCTTCCCCAATGGACTTTTTTGCTGGAATTCACTTTACGACCACAAGATTCATTTAATGACCACTTATGATTCACTTAATGACCATTGTAAAAAAAGGTCACAAATCATAATTGTGTGGCTGCGGGGGGGGGTGCAACGGTTTGCTATGGTTGTAGGTGCAAGTACAGGTCATAAAGCACTTTTTCCGTGCCCATTGTAACTTTGAACTGTCAAATGAATGGTCATTAAGTGAGGACTACCTGTATCTTCATGCACTTTCAGCTACCGCTCAGCGGGCCTTACAGATGCCCAGAATGCTTCAGCTGCTTCATTGTCAGCAAGTACTTGCTTGTATGTGGAACATTCCTTCTTTGTTCACCACAAGCATCTTATCCTAAATTGTGAGGGGCAGAGTACCCTGGAGTAAGAGGTATACTGTCAACCATCTGTCTCTCATGTATGTTTTTAACAAACCATGGATCCTTTGAGGAAAGAATGCATTCATAATATGGATTTGTTTCTCATGATGAAGAACAGGATATTTGCTTCCTGTTGCTATTATATAGGAATATCCATTTTCCTGCACACTTTTCAGGAAGGAACATTAATAGAAAGGCTCAGGAACACACAACATAAAACAGGCAGATAAGGCAACATTTTCTCTACATTTTCCCCTTCCCCCAAACTTTCCATATTTGTTTAATGTCTTCCTATGTCTAACACTGAACATTCAGTTCTATGCCAAATTCCAGATATGTCTAAAACTAAATTTATTAAAGAATCAAATGTGTACTTAGACATCCTATAAAAAATAACATCGTTATTTCACTATAGAATACTTTTAAAGTTCTTCCCTCACTAATATATCCTGGATCACTTCCCTTTTCTTCTTTTTTAGTCTTTGTTAATGAAAGGTACTGAAATATATGGAAGTATCAACAATTCAAGAAGATCAACTCAATATTTTTAAATAGGTAACTGTAATTCTGACTTTCTTTCAGTATGTCTTGTCCGGTTACTTTTTCTATAGGCAGCCTATGATAGAGTGAGGAAAGCCAAGAAACAAGCAGCAGAAAGGACCCAGAAACTTGATGAAAGAAGGAAGAAAGTCAAGCTTGGTATGTAAATTTAGAAGATTTTTTTTTTCAAAAAAAAAAAATTGAGCAAATAAATTCCAAGATTTTGACATCCTTACAATAATGCCATATATACAGTTCATTTCTTTTCATTAAAATTATGTATTTATTAAAACTGTAGGTTCAGTGAAGCACCCTTGCAATTGAAATAGTTTTATCTTGTTACATTTTTTTTAAAAATGCTAAGTTTATGATCTTACATTGCTGTAGATATTTTTTAATATTTATTTTTATTGAAATTGTTTACATAATTAAAACAAGAAAGAGTATATAAAGAGAAAATGGAAAAAAAATGCTAAAAAAAGTGCTAGAAACAGTATAAAGAGAAAAAAGAGAAAAGAAAGTTAAAGTCATGGGTTCCAATCTTCTTTACAGCAAACAAACTTATCATTTCTCCCGCTTTAGAATTACATTATATAGTTCCCTTCTTCCCATATTCAACACTTTTTAATCAGCAAATCCAGAAATCAGCTCATTTTTGTCCATATTCAGCAAAAAGGTTTCCAATCTTTTATAAAAGTACTTATTGTTTTGTCCCTAATCAAACAGGTCAATTTTGCCATTTCAGCAAATTCTGCCATCTTCACAGTCCACTCCTCCATTGTGGGTACTTCTGTATTTTTCCATCTTTGTGCGTGTAATAACATCACTGCAGTTACCATATACAAAACTAATTGTCCATGAGTCCTTTCTACAAGTAGTCCTTGCTTAACTACCATTTGTTCAGCAACTGTTCAAAATTACAACAGCATTGGAAAAAATGGACTTATGACCTGTGCCTGAAAATACGACCTTTGCAGGATCCCCACAGTCACGTGATCAAAATTCAGGTGCTTGGCAGCCCTCCCACACTTACACCACAGGGGTACTTCAACTCCCCCGACCTATCTCTCCCCCAACTCTGCCCTTTTGGCACCCCTGCCACCCTGCCCTCCATCGCCCCAGCTGACTTTTGCCACCATCTTCTTGCTCCTGGCCTAGCTGCTGGACCCTGTGGGGCTGGGAAAAGAGCCAAAAGCAGCCTTTTTTTTTTTCATTCTTTGCAGAGCAAAGCCCTCTTTGGAGCTCCTGGGAGGGGTAGGGCTGGCTTTGCACTACAGCTTGCAAAGCTGTGTGCCAAAATCCTGAGAGGGAGTACTGCGGAGAAGGGGGAAAAAAGGCTGCTTTCAGCTCTTTTCCCCCCCTTCACAGTGCGAAGCCAGCCCCACCCCC